TATAAAAAAGGCAAGAATGAACAAACTCCTAACACCGGTGCAAGGAATGAAAACGATGAAAATACAACAGCCTCAAAGTAATATTTTCCAGAAACTGTGTCTTTTGTCATTTTTTCAAAGTTTGAAAACACGACCACCTAGTAAAACCATTACAAGGAAATGTGCCACTTTTTCAAGAGATGAAAATAAAACATCCTCAAAGCAGTACGTTCCAGAAACTTTGTCTCTTTCGTCATTTTTTTCAAAGCTTGAAACTATGACAACTCCTAAAACCACCAGTAAATGACATATTGTTTTAAACCAGATAAGTGGGGCATCAAGTCAAAACACACATGAAAAACACAAAATATAATGTCAATGAAAATGTTCATGAAAGTAAATGTTCAAAGTGTCAATTAGTGGACAGTATGGTACTCCTTGAAGCAGGGGGCGACGCAGAGGGGCTGGTGGCACGTGTCGCACTCGAAGTGTGTCTTCTTTTGCAGACCACGGGAAGCGCAGAGGACACACCGCCGGTGGCGGAAGTCGCCATAGCTGGTCCTCTCACATCCCACGGGGAAGTGTCGGCCGACAAAGCGGGAGTTGGTGACTGGTGGAGTATCGTGCTGAGGGCGGTACTTGGGCAAGGGCTCGTCGAACAGCAGCTCACGGACAAGACTCAAGCGGTAGTCGAGGAAGGAGAGGACCAACGGCCAGGTACACTGAGTAGCTGTTCACCAGCGTCAAGTCGAGCAGGTAGAAGAAGAGCTTCTTGTACCACTTGAGGGACTTACGAGTTGCTCGATGATTTGCCGCTAGTTGGTCGCTCTTGTCAACGCCCCCCATCAGGGCGTTGTATTCGATGACGCAGGTCGGTTTCTGCTTTTCCTGCCCCATCCTGTCTTGCTTGCTGGAGCCACGGATGTCTGCTGTATGCATGGTGGAGAGCATACGGATGTTGCGCTTGTCTCGCCACACCATGGCCAGGAGAGAACCGCTGACACCCAGGTCGGCCGACCGGGACGCTTTTTCGCCCCGCTTCAGCTTGACGGACTGCAGGTCTGTTCCCCACGACGGTGCCGACGATGTTGAA